CTTGACATTCCTCTGTATTCACTGCAGATTAAGTGTTTCCCTCAAGCCTAAAACACTCCCCTTTTCTACTTTAACCACATATAAAATATAAAAGTCATGCCAATGCATATAAAATAACAATATTTATGACATACAGTGGCCCCAAAGTATTTGGACTCTGAAGCCTCATTTAAAAATGTATGCATTATTTCACTGCATTAGAAACCAAAATTTCAAACTACGTGGCTTCTGCAAACAAAATAACAATTGAATAATTTCAACAATTAACTTTTTGAGCCATTTTTGCATTACTTATCCAATTTCTGTCTTATTTTGAATCTACAATAACATTAAAAAGTTTGAGGTCAGCAAGATTTTTTCTAAAGAAATTAATACTTTTATTATTGACTTTTATAAGATTTTAAGTATTAAATTGATCAAAAGTGTGAAAAGACAATTACAATTTAAATAATTTTAAATTGTAAAAATATTTCACAATATTACTGTATTAACATACAATATTATTTTTACTGTATTTTTGATTATCAATAAATGCAGGCTTGGTGAGCATAAGAACCTTCTTTCAAATACAGTAAAATAATCGTACCAACCCCAAACCTTTAAATGGTTGTGCATATATTAATCTATTTTTTATTTTTAAATCAAACGTAAACTAAAATCATAAATTTTTAGTTTTACACTTAATTTCCTGATTTTGCTGTTACGGTCTATGCTATATATATATATATATATACAGTATATATACTTTTTTATGAATGAATGAATGAATGAATGAATGAATGCCTGTGGATTAGATATTTTGTAGTGCTGTCAAATGAATAATCGCGATTAATCGCATCCAAAATAAAAGTTTTTGTTTATATAATATTTGTATGTGTACTGTGTTGGTTTATTATGTATGTAGGGTATCAGACCGAATCAGACAATCTAAGATTTGGTCAAAACATGGTTGAAACGAGGAGTCCAAATTCGACAGAGGCCCAAGACAACAGGATGCTCATAAATCAGACCCTAGCCAGTCTGAAGAAAGCCTAACTCATATTCTTGTTATAGAAATCATGTCCAAACTATACTCGGCAAGAGCGGGAAAAACGCGGACCATGTGACTGATAAGAGAACATTTGATTTATGAATGAGGAGAAACATTGCAACACCCCGAGCTACAATTGGTCGAGGCACCATTTGGGGTGTGTTAAACAGCCCAGTTTAAATACTCAGCACACCATCAAGCTTTTGGCTTTTTGTGTCTAGCTTTTTGTGTCTAGCGTTTAGCTTTTTGTGGCTAGCTTTTAGCTTTTTGCTTCTAGTCATGCTTTTTAGTTATATGCTTTTTAGCCAAGAGGCTTTTTAGTTATATGCTTTTTAGCATATATATTTATATTATTATATTTTATATTATATATAAATATATTTAATATATAAACATAACATATTTTTCTTAAATATATACATGCATGTGTTTGTATTTATATATATATCTATACATAGTAAATATACACAGTACACACTCATATATTATGTAAACAAAAACTTTTATTTTGGATGTGATTAATCGTTTGACAGCACTAATATTTTGTTATATAATATAAAGGAATTTATACATTATTAAATGTGGCAACATTGTCCAAATATTTTTGGAGCCACTAAAAACATATAGCCCGGCTATAAGAAAATGTATGAACTTCATGAGCAACAAGCAAACTGAGCAGTGAAGTGGAATCAGATACTAACAGTGTGCTGTAGTTGATCCCGTCTACGGTAAATGCATTGCAGGGGGGAAAGAGGAGAGCTTCGAAAGAAGATGGAGGCGGTCAATCAATAGACCCACACAGTATTGATGACCCCTTTGTTCATCCTCGCCTCTCCCTCAGACCTGTTCTAATTGGCCTCTTCACATTGTCCAAGAGTGTGGAGCACAATGTAGCCTAGTGCATCGAATTACACAGAAGATCTACACCAACCGTGCAAATAAACATTGAATAACAATGAGGAAAAATAATGAGGAACAGATTGGAAACGTCAAATTGTTTAAACTAATTCTGTCAGAAATTAAAAGTGGGTGTGAATGTGTTTACCATGGGATCATGTATAGACATTAACCAAATTTCAAATCAAACTCAGCCATAGCAGCTAAAAGAGTTGTGTTCAGTTGACTTTTCTAAGTAGTAATCATAGGCGTAATTTGCGGGTGGGACAGGTGGTGTCATGAATCCTGTCCATGGACTTCCGTTCAATCACCACCAACCTACACCCTTACTACACCCTTCCATTACAGTGACTCTTGCACAACACAAACTGTTGCATGTCATCCCGGACTACATATCCCATCAGCCATTGCACTGATTGCACACAGCACTGATTGCACACAGCTGTCATCAATCACACATTCACTATAAATACACCCACTCAAACAACCATTCCCGGCCGAGTATTGTATGCACTTTTCGCCAGCAGTGATAGCTACTCTACAGAGCCCTCTTTAGCTTCCTAGCCCAGCCCAGCCCAGCCCAGCCTAGTCTTGCCTTGTCTGTTTTCTCGGTTTCTGATCTGTGCCTGTTTTCCTGGATTTATCCCTTTAGTCTCGCCCTTGTAATCCTGTTCGCCAATCGTTGACCTATGCTAGCCCTAGGACTATTCTTGTGTCTTGCCCGCCATATACCTGTTTGCCACTGTTCGACCCTGCCTGTGTTTCTGACCTCCTCTGATGTTAATAAAGCTTGCATATGGATCCGCACGTCTCACATGTTGTCAGCCCCGTAACAGGTGGGACATGTCCCCATCACTTTTTGCCAGGGTCGATATTGTCCCTACCACTTTTTGAAAGTAATTGAAAAATATATTGCGGAAGGTAGGCTATGTATTAAAGGGAAAACAAGATCAACAAATCATTCTTCATAATCTAATTAGGGTGATAAAAAATTGTTTTGACTCCTTATGCATGCATAACTCGTGTAGTGCAATAACGACGTGATTTGCAGCTGTCGCACTTTTCGTAATGCCATTAGGCTATAGCATTTTATTTTAAAAA